CATCACCGCCATCACCGCCATCACCACCATCACCAGCATCACCACCATCACCACCATCAGCACCATCAGCACCATCACCACCATCACCATCACCACCATCACCACCATCACCACCATCACCACCATCACCACCACCACCGCCGCCGCCACCGCCGCCGCCGCCGCCACCACCCCCACCACCACCACCACCACCACCAAAGCGTCTGGGCCCAAGCTTGTGAGTGCCCGGGGATTGTGTGTGTGTGTGTTCCCCCTCCCCCGTTTGGTTGCCTGCCCCTAGGATTCAGGGCCGTGAGCACGCCATAGCTGCCTGCGCCGTGCGTTGCCTCTGACACTGCTCTGTATGTTCTACGGTCGTCACCTGCTGTCATTATGGCTGGGAACGATTCTCGCAATTGCCCTGGCGAAAGCCGACTTTCTTCAGCACAGCAGTGGTTGGGAGATGCTTCTACAGGTACTACCGACAAAGCGACTGTTGCCCAACCAGCACCTGAACCCTGTACCACTGGTCTTCACTGCACAGTCAAATTCACTAAGGGTATTCGCTATCACCAATCTGTATTCAGCTCCTCCACTGGATCGTCCTTGCCAGCAGTTTCCCAACTGGATGCACGTCGACATGCCCGAGCATTGGTATCCGCAGCGCCCACTGGTACATCCAGCTCTACTACCAAGTCGTCGCGCCTCACGGTGGATCTTAACACAATGGACTAAGGTACCCACGCTTTTACAGGAGGCTTCGCTCATCGATGCAGATCCTCTCCATCAGCTATCAGGTACGCTGCACTCGGCGCGGTGTTGGAGGTTCACCTCCGCCCGCTGTTGTGCCCCATCCGAGAAGCATGTCCGTGTAGGTCTGAAATGGTGCAGCTCACATTCCCAGTGCGCCACCTGCTTACCCCTCACTCACCTATGCCCCAGACCGCGGCCATGCACGCAGGTACTGCCTCAATCGCCTCGCTTGGCGGCCAGCTGGGCCTGCCTTCTCCACCTAGGAGCCATTCCGCAATGGGTAGGGTCGGTTTGGGGTCGCTTTTCTTTTGGGCATCAGCTTAAGGGTCTCTTTCCCACTGGGATGCAGCCACTTATTGCGTTTGTCGCACCGCCCTGGCAGTGCGCGCACCCTATGCGTCCCGATGCCACTGGCTCTAGGGCAGATGCTCAACAGGGACCGCATACTGAGATTGCAAACCCGACCCTCTCACCCAGCGTAGGTCTCCAACCTCTCCTGTGCAGCAGGACAAATCAGGCCTCTAAGGATTTCTGGGCTCCCTGGTCTACCCTTACTCATTTCAGGTCCTTTCGGGCTTGGGTTACACGTGTTCCCACGATCGGGCTCGGTGTGCATGGCCTGACAAACTGCGCTGACAGCGCCGATACACCCGTCACCTGCATGGGCAAACGCGGGAAGAGAACCGGGCGACGTCGCCGGCCTCGGGACACAGAGCGTGAAGCCCATCGGCCCCCGAAGAGAATCCGCACTGCGGGAGCCGAGGAAGCTGCTGGTCGTTCATCCTCTGAAAGCTCAGAGGGTTCAGACATCGACACTGAGCCCAGATCTTCCCGACCTCTCACAGTGTTCTCAGTTGGCGCTGCCAACATGGCTCTGACTTCGACCAGAAATCCGGCTTCGGGCTCTCAGCGTTCCGCCTCTGCACCACGCTCAGAGGATACAGACCAGGTTTTCGATGTCAGTGATGTCCGAGTCGAAAGATCTCCAGAGGAGTTTATGGCAATCGCCACGGCATTAGGGCGCAGTTATGCTGCTCCGGCCCCAGCCCCAGCGCTAGCTCCAGTCCCAGCTTCCGCCTCCATCAGCACTGCATCTGCACATCGGCCTTCGATGCCCCAGACCGTCTCAGTGCGAAGCCACACAGGTGGAAGGCACTGGCCCGCTGGAGCACTGCCACCTCGTCCAGGACTTTCAGGGCCAGCGAATCGCTCTCCTTTGCGGTTGGAGCCAGCCAAGGCAAGGTCGGAGGCCAAGGCAGCGGTCACTGTGGTAACCGATCGGCCTGCAGTCAGCTTGCAGCCGCGTACATCACCCGCTGGTGCTCGGATCCAGAATGAGCCGCCTAGCATGTTGCGGTCGGCAGGGTCTTTTGCCACACCCACACCTAAGGTGCCTGGACCAAGACAACCTGCCACCGAAGATTCTGTTGAGGCAGTGGGCACTTCGGCTACTTCTATCAACGCTGCAGGTATGGATTGCGGTTCTCCACTCACCCACCCCGGACCACAGCATTCCGAGCGGAAGTATGCCAAGCCTAGGCCAAAAGTGCGTCCTAAAAATACGAGCGGGGCAACCGTTGTTGGGAACGCGCCAATGGATGTGGCTACGATTGTGGACGATGAAGCTGCTGAGGCAAAGGCTGCAGCACCGATCTGTGTGGAGGCGGAGGCAGAAGCAGGCCGTGACGAAGCTACTGGTGAAGGAAAGTCAGCTCCAGAAGAACCAGGGCCGACCGCTGCAGCGACACTGGAAGTTCAGGCAGGTAATGTGCCGCTAGCGGCTGCAGCTCCGAGATGTACAGAGGAGGAAGCCGTGGCAAGCCTCGCAGTGGCTGCTGCAAATTCTTCTTCATCGGACGAGGACGGAGATTATGAGCTGACTCGGCTTCGCCGTCGTGGGGACCTGCCAGTCAAGGTCAATGCCTCAACAGGCCTACCGTCGGGGGTGGCTTCACTGCGGCGAGACAAAACCACCGGCCGGATCCGTGTGCTTCGGCCTCGGGGATTTCACCTCGCACACCACGGGCTCACCTTAGCAGTAGATGACAGCATAGTCATTTTCCTTGATGAGCTCGGTGGCTTCGACAGACGCCCCTGTGCGCCGCAGCAATACATGCAGGGTTGGACTGGGTCTAAGTTTGATCTGGGGTCTTTGAGCGCACCTCGCTTAGTATGCGCCCCCTGTCCCCACTTTGCACTTGTTGTATCGCATCACCCGAGATCGAACACAGCCCTCGTCTCCTTAGTAAACCCGCTCCCCCACCAGACCCGCGATGCCATGCTGCCTAGCACCCGTCAAGTGTGTTGCCCTTTGCCCGACAGGAATCCTCATGCGCCGCGCGGATGCAGGTGCCATTCTCTGCCCTCCCATGGTGAGATTAGGATTGGTCTTCCGTGCGCTTGTGGGGTTAGGGTTGACACTAGCGGTTTACTGGAATGCTGGCACCTCGCCATGACAGCTGCGGATGCACGCTTGGGATCCTTGCCTCCCCAGTGCCAATTCCGTCTTGCGTGTCCCCGCAGAGGTGTCGCCTCGAGGCATCCAAGCTCGGATAACCACCATATGCCGATTGACCCCCCACGCAGCTGTGGTCTACACCGTAAACACTGGCATATACCAGTCATGCTGCGCAACCGCACATACCAACTCCATCCGTGGGCAAGCCGGGCCAGGAGCCGCCGGCGCGTGCGTGCACGCCCACAAAGGCCCTGTCGGCCAGCCAGAGGCACCCAGGGTCATAAGAAGCGAACGGATCTTATTTCGTGTATTGCAGCCTTTACTGCCTTTGACGTGCTAGTGGCAGTTGGGATGTTCCTACGCACTGTTCACCTTCCTTGGGACCCCACAGGTGCCACGCACCAGGCCTCTCGGCCCGAGCCTTACCTCTTGAAGCTGCTTCACTTTCGCTGTCAGTTCTCTAGACAATCACAGTTTGTGTGGATGTCACGTCACCTCAAGCATAGAGCTGCTGCTGCACAGCATCTCCCACAGTCAGATGTAGAACAGACCCAGCCTGGTCATCAGGACGTCACCCCAGACGCACACACACACCCCCACAGGACCCCTAAAGCTCAACAAACCCAAGGCCCCCCCGGTCCCAAGTCCGGGGAGCGTTCCAGAGTACTCTCCACCCGGTCAATATGGCCATACCGTACGATACTGTGGCTTCTGCAGATTCAAGCCAGTACTGGAACGCTAGACGCGAGGGTTGTCACGCCAGCCCGGGGCGTGACGGGAGCGGGTTCAGACCCCTCCATTGAGGCAATTCGCAGACCCGCGAAGCCACCACTGGGCACACAGGCGACATATGAGTCGCACCCGCGGAGCTCCACAAGGGTGCACAAGCGCACATATGCACGTGCCCTGCGCAGAGCACAGCTCAAAGGAGGGGCATGGTATCGAGGTAAATGGATAGGACCCGACCCCAGAGTCCCCGCCACCACAGGGATCACGCACCAGAACGGACGTGCAAAGACCCCGCCCCAAGGTTGCTCTAGGCACTATCGCGTGTTCTCATGGAACACAGGCGGGCTGGGGGGGGACTCTACGACGAAGTCCTCTTGTACTTGCAAAGATCCGAATTTGACATCATGTTATTGCAGGAAACCAAGTGGCGCTTTGAATCCATGTGGGAAGATGCCACTCACTACTTCATCCACTCAGGTACCAATGCCAAAGATCATCAACAGGCAGGGCTGCTCACTGTCGTCTCCAAGCGCATTGTCGACAAGGGCTCACTTAGATTCGTCTCGGCCATCGATGGCCGACTCATGCGTGTACAGTTCAAGCACGGCCCGCGACAGGTTGATGTCATTAATTTCTATCAACACACCTGGAGGCCTACGAAACACGTTCAGTCTCTCCGTCACAAGGCATGGGACTCACTTACACAGCAAATTCAGGCAGTCCCACTTCGCAGCAGACTCTTGGTTGGGGGAGACTTTAACACTCCGTGCACCGCCTCCACCCCACATGCTGGCCCGCATGTGTTGCCCAAACCCGATCACGGCATTCAGGATGCTGACGACCTGCAAGCCATAGTACAGGGGCTCGATCTGATTTTCCTTAACACGTTCTCCCAGGCAGTCCCTGCACACACATACCAGTGGAACCAGCAGAGGTCACAAATCGACTTCTGGCTGACCCGTCGGCTACAGGCAGGCGGTAAAGCCAGGTTAGCTGGCCCCATGCCCGACTTCCATGTAGGACGCTGGAGAGGCGGCCCTCGCCACACACCAGTGCAGGCAAGCCTCATGTACCATTGGCAGCCCTGGGAACATCGCCAGTTTCAGCACCTCACAAATCAGACAGAGGTTGATCGCCTCGACATCCTGCGCGCGAGCAGCGCTGCGGATGATCCGCGGATCCCTCGCTTCCGTGCGGACATCCAGACCTTAGTTAGCCAAGGCCCGCTGTCCATAGAGCAACTTCAGACCAAGGTTTTCGAGCTAGCCTGCATTCACTTCCCTAAGCGGCCCCCCCAGCGAGCGGAGAAACCTTGGCAGGATGGCACCCTCACCCATTATGCCGAGACCATGTGGGGACACTTCCGCGCCAGATCCGCCATCATCCGTAGGTCACTAGGTAAGCCCACACTAGCTGAGTCATTCCGCAGCTGGAAACACACCATGTATTTTCACAGGCTACATCGCGCTGCCCAGGCACGTGGCAAACTTCTTCGTAAGCAGAAGCAACAAGAACTGCTGGAAACAGCCAGGCTTGCGGCTGAACAGCACGACTTTCGTGAACACTATCGCCTCATTCAGACAATGGCACCCAAAGCCACGTATCGCAAATTCCAACTCAGACTGCATGGGAAGCTCCTCACACCGGAGGCCGAGCTGCGTGAAATGCGGACACACTTTGAGACACTGTATCAAGCTGACCAAGCCGACTCCCCTCCCCACATCCATCTTGAGGACGATGTCCCGGTCACACCTGACGAGATCCTAGAATCCATCCAGAATCTACAGGCCTCCAAAGCAGGTCTTCCCGGTTCTTCTCCGGGCGCAATCTGGCGAATCTGTGGAGATCAGGTCGCACACCTAGTGGCGACAGACCTCACGCAACGCTGGAGGACAGGCGCGGCCACAGTCCCTGTAACATGGAGTATAGCGAGCCTAGCCCTAATTCTCAAACCTGGGAAGCAAGGCACGCTGCCCACTCATTATAGGCCGATCGGCCTCATCGACGCCCTCGGAAAAGCGTCGATAAGTATGTTGTTTCGCAAAATCCGGTACGACCTGGAAACGTACGTCCTCGCATCCCCACAATTTGCGTATGTACAAGGACGGTCTACACAAGAAGCGCTAAGACGAGTCTTTCACCATTGCTCCCAAGCACAGGCGCGCAGGGAACAGCACGCGCGGAACATCCACCACAAAAGGGCCGGACTGAAGAGCGCACCACTTACAGGGGGAGTCCAGGCCTGTCTCGATATGAGCACAGCGTTCGACATCATGCCCCGATCAGGACTTCGTGAAGCCTTGCATGAAGCGGGAGTGCCGGAGAGCCCGGCGCGGCTACTCCTACACTGGATAGACCGCAGCGTCTACAGAATCCGAGTTGAACAGCACACCGCAGAGATATCGTCATCTAGGGGTGTCAAACAGGGATGCCCAGTGTCTCCACTTCTCTTTGCGGCGTTTTCCACAATGATCACCCGAAAATTGGACGCCAAGCTAGGGGAATCGTGGTCTGCCACACACCTGACACTCTACGCCGATGACTGGCACATTTCCTGCCTCTTTGACTCCTATTCTGCGTTTGACCGGTTTTGCCAATGCCTAGGCGTAGTTTTCACCACGCTGGAGCAGCACGGAATGATAGTCAACGCGGCAAAGGCCTCCGTAATTCTCACAATTGCAAGGCACCCTGCGCAAACGGGCAATCACGGAATTTAGCAGGGTCGTACAAGGAACGCGACACCTCACAGTCCGTGCCTCTGGTCGAGATGCCCCCCTCCCCATCGTCAGTCAGGCAGAGTACTTGGGAGCTGTCATTTCCTATCGTAATTTCCGGTCCCTCACGCTTGAGCACCGTATTGGTAAGTGTAAGGCGACGCAACAACGGCTTCGCAAGATTCTGCAAGGCCGCCGGGGGCTCACACTTGGGCAGAGGGTCCTTCTCTGGAGATCGACTGTTTTACCCAGCGCGCTCTACGGCCTTGGAGCCTGTGGACTCACAACGACACAGACGCAGCGTCTACATCAGGTGTTGCTACGTCAGTTGAGGGCGATCGCCAAGGCCCCAGCACACCTGACGCACGAGACTGATTGTGCTTTACTAGAACGCCTCAGGGTCGCTGAGCCCATTCTTGCATTGCGTAAACAACATGCACAGCTCGTAGCCAGCCGTAACCCTCAGGATCCGTTCGTGCAAACTCCGGAGCACCCCTGGATGCAGGAGTTGATGACCCTGTGGAGCACGCAGCTAGTCCCGGCCTCAGAATCACAGTACACACCGCCGCCTGCCACTCAGCCTCAGGACCACAATCTGTTGTCCCAAACCTCACATCCTGAAGTGCCCATAAGGCCACTCGAACCCCATCACCGCCACCATCCTGAACACCACACCACCACGGTTTCAACTGTACCACATCATCACACTCCACCTGACACTGCTCGCCCAGCTGCCATCGATTGCGCTCCTGCGCCCTTCCAATGTCCACACTGTCCCAAAAGCTACCCGCTCCTGTCCACCCTACGCTGGCACATGAAGAAGGTACATAAGCTGCAAATGCCTCTCGTCCAGTTTGATCGCTCCAAGCACTCAGTTGACGGCATGCCCATTTGTGCCATGTGTGGTACTTCATTCACTAGGTGGGAGGTTCTCGAAGCTCACGTTACGCATCAAAGATGCACAGGTGCCGTCCCGACCCAGGCTATGGATCCACAGGCGCACCAGGCCTCCACTCACACGCAGCCCACTGACTCCACGCCCAAGGAACGCTTGCAGAAGACTTCCCCAGAGCCGGAGCCCGAGCAGATGCCCCCGCCTACGGTTCACACTCCCCGCGATAGTAATGTGGAGGAAGCGGGGACTGCTGCAGCCCCAGCGCCTCCGCCATCAGCAATGCAACTCCTACAGCAGCCCGAGCACCCTCAAGCCACGTCCCCTGCAACAGGTCATCATGATCCCCAGACGGACCAACTACCGGCGGTGCCCGGTGAGCCCAGTGCTTTCAGGAGTTTTGCCACAGCTATTATCAGGAACAAAGGTTTGGCCGCTCTGTTGCGCTCCTCGCTCATGCCTCAGCTGGATAGCCACTGCCTCCTGTGTGGTCAGTGGGTTGCAGCTGCACGCACCATCAAGATTCACTACAAACACGCTCACCCCGACCTGTCTCCTCTCGAAGCTCAGGCCACGCAGCTAGCGAAGCGTGTAGGAGGTGCCCTTTCGCCCTGTCTGTATTGCGAGAAACCTCACACCCACCCTAGACAGCACCTCGCAACTTGCATTCCCCTGTTTCAAGCCTGTTCCCTGGCAATTTACTGCGGTCATGGAGCCTCAAGCAGCGGATCACGCCTTGAAGGAGATGTTCGGACCTCTCCTGGGGAAGAGGGCCACTCCTACTGCAGAGCCGGACCAGCAGAGCACCACGGAGCGCCCCAACAAGTCGGGAAAGCAGAACGAAGGGGGGAAAGGCAAGGGGCCCAACAAGAGGCAGCCGGGACGCTACAGAGGTGGTGGCAGAAGCTCCCTACAGGGAGACCAGGACGGAGGCGAGAGACCTTCAAGTTGGTTGCGAGGGCTTTGGTCCACCAACAGGAGGCCATCGACACATTGAGATTGAGCACCGGGTGGATCTGGTGGCTTCGCATCCCGGAGCCCACCGTGATCCCCACCTTGATCGAGGCGGCGGAGCTGTGGCGCGAACAGGCGGTGAAGAAGGACAGCAAGCTCCAAGACACGCCACTCAAGCAGGCCATGTTTTGGAGTATGATGCAGTTCGTCATCAACACGTTGGAGCAGCTGTCCGAGGCGAACACAACCCTGGCCAAGAACTCAGGCTGGATCGACAGCAGCGGTCGCTGGGTGTTTCAACGCTGGAATCCCGAAATGCGTGCGCTCGAGGTGGACAGCCACCGAAGTGCACTCACTCACGAGGAGCTTCTCAGGATCAGCAAGGAGATTCAGTCACTGATCCATCCAGAGACACTCTCTCGCTTTCATGTGCTTCGACAGCTCGAGCCGCAGATGGAGGGCCAAACAGTGCGAGTCATGATGGACATCGCGCTCAGATGCCCAGAGGCGACGCAGTTGTTTCACGGCCTCTCGGCGTTGCAGGGGAACTCATCACTCCAACTAGTCGGGTTGCAGTTCAAGCGCTCGACCATGCAGCGCCCGCCACTCATCAAGCAGATCCTGGACTGCGCGTTTCACTGAGGTGCCTCAAACTGGTTAACCCTAGCAATTGGTGTTACCTGAACTCCGCAGTTAGAGCATTGCTGTGGGCACACGTCAGCGCCGCTGTTAGTCCGCAGGATGTGGATTCTGAAAGGGGATTTTCTTTGGCAGGTGCCCAGGCCGTCCGTTCATTGCATGGGACCCTAGACACCCCACAATTCCTACCAGGCAGGCTGCCCTGGAGGTTCATGCTGTCAGGCTGGGCTAGAGCGCACGACCAACACGATTGTGCGGAATTTCTGCACCACCTCTGTCGGACCCTGTGTCCGCAGGCCATGAACGGGGATTGGTGCGCACGTAGGCTGGAGGGAGCCCATGTACAACAAATTGAGGAGGCGGGTTGCAGCCAGGCTATCTCTCTCGAGTTGCCACCCGGGGAGCAGCTGAGCGCCCAGTTTCTCATTCATTGTTGGCATACACAACATGCCATACATGCGCTCAGGCACCCACCAATGCTTTTGATGCTTCAGTTCTCACGATACTCTTTTGGACCGACAGGTGCACACAAGAATCATGTCAACATTGAGTGGCCACGAACCCTGAACATCCCGCTCTTCGTTGACGCAGGTCTAGATTCTTGCAACATCACGTACACCGTAGAGGCGGCGATTCTACACCGAGGTGACAGGATCACCTCAGGACATTATACCACCCTCCTACACACCGCAGGTGAAACTATGTTCTGCGATGATGGAGATGTGCCTCAGCCCCTTGCAGCCAACACGAGCCTTGTGGTTGGCCCTCACTTTTGTTCCGGGGAGGTTTACATGCTGATTTGCAGGCGTGGGGAAGCGCCGACGCATTAAGTCGGCACCTCGCACTTTCCACCTTCCCCTTTCCATGCAACTTGGCCTGCATTGTCTGCTAGTCAGGTTGACCGCGATGCCTGGGGGCCTCGCCGAGGGCACGCTGCACTGCAAATTCAGTGAGCGTGAAAACAAGCCGTAATGTTCTCCGTTTGTGCCCCTGCATTCCTCCACTTGCATTCTGCACACCTCCTCGCTGGATGTTTCACCCATGACCATTGCGCCGACCTGCAAGTTTGGCTTAATCATGCTGAGCGTCACATGCCATCCCCATGTTGCCCAGCAAACCCCTGGATGTCTCGGACGAAGACTGGGAACTCGAGCTGCCTTCAATCTTGGGCTCGGCACACCCGGACTTCCACGGCCCCGCCGAAACACCCTCTCCCAGAAGTCTGATCTCAGTTGCATCGGATAGTAGCTCACTTCAGTCCACAGTCCTGTATGCCGAAGATACCCCGCCTCACATACCCCGATCCTCTCAGGATGACACTGTCACGTCAGCGGACACACCGTTTCTGGAGTGGAATATCCCTGCCACCCTCACGGAGCTCACCCTGGATGTGTCAGCCCTGACATCGCTACCGCCGCCACTTGAGCAAGACCCGACGGCCGAACACTTAGCACATTTCTTCATACAGACTGGTAAGGCCTCTTTTCATGATATCTCCCGGTTGCTGGATCTGCTGCCAGAGAAGACATCGGCCAAGCGTAGAGGACCTCTATGCCTAGATGGAGTCAATCGCAAGTGCTTTTCTACTGGGGCTTTTACTTTCTCCCACTCCACGGGCGTGCAGAACAATGTTAACCTCTTTCCGAGAGCTCTGGCAGGGATTATGAGGGGAATGTGTCCGGAGGCTGATTTTGCCTCGCTCATGCTTCAACGCAACATTCAGCTGCAATGTCACCGCGATATCGGCAACGAGCCGGGGCTTATGAACACGGTGGTACCTTGCTCGCGCTGGATGGGAGGATGCTTGTGGCTGCAGAGCACAGGCGGCGCTCATGCATTGGATCAAGACTCCGGGCCCGGCACTATGCTTCGCATACAGTTACCTTATGTGCAGTTTTCACCGCACACTCCACATGCAACGACGCCATGGACGGCTGGAGATAGAACAATTCTTGTTGGATATACTCCTCGCCACCTGAGCAGATTATGCAATGCTGATTATGAGCTGCTAAAGCTGAGGGGGTTTCAACTGAGGTGAGCCGTGTATATTCGTTTGAGCTGCTGCGCAATTCTTTTAACTGCCCTTTTCTACGTGCCACAACTTTCGAGGTGTGGCGAGCTCCGGTACGCACAACAGCTGCGTGCTGCCTAAGTGCAGCCGGTGGCACCATGTGCTGCTGACCCAATCCCTGTCGCAACGCCTGGACTCCCTGGCCGCGGTGCAAACAAACAAACCACCACCACCACCACCGCCACCACCACCACCATCACCACCATCACCACCACCACCACCACCACGATCACCACCACCACCACGATCACCACCACCACGACGA